TTAATTAGTTTTGAGAAACTTATTGGATCATACTGATGCTGGAAGAATTGATCTGTATAGGAAGATCATAATGCTGGATAACGTGGACTATTTGGTCCTTTTTGGCGAATGCTGATGATCGATTCTTCAGAATGATACTGCACTTGAATCTGATGTAATTGTGAATAAAGTTTATTATTTCATTCTAAAAACTAAGTTCATGCAATTTTATTTTATTAAGAGTGATAAATTAGGAGCTTTTTGATACTTTTGAATATTTCGAAATTACTAGTACGAAATTAATATTAAATATTCTAAAAACCCGTTTCATCAACTTGTAATATTAATGAGAATACTTTATTAATTAATATACCGTTGGATCCGTACTGCCATCGCAGAGTACCAACACTTCCGCAACACTTACTTGTCGTGCCGGTTTAGCCTAGCTTAAAAATCCTTTGATGTTATTAAATACAAAAAGTGATCAATTAATAGATAACAAAAAATCATATTTAACAATAAAAAAATATTGATGCAAATTTTAAATTGATTGATGATAAAGCGGATTAAAATTGTTAAGACATCAAAGTTTACACCACGGACACTTTATTATATGATCATGTTGGATAATGCTGACGATTTGGTCCTTTTTGGCTTCTACTGGTGGTCAATTCTTATTTCATTATTATTTACTATATTCTATTCTTGTGATTTCACATTGGTTTTGTGTGAAAGTGTTGTGAAAAGTGAATTTGTATTGTGCTGTTTTTATACATTTATGACAGGGAGGGGGACATGGTAAATCTGGGAAAGAAGAAGAAATCAAAGAAAATTCCCCTATTTACTAAAATCCCTACCAAAAATAGTTTTTCCCCCATCTCCCAAATTCCCATCTCAACCTCACCTTTTGAATTTTTTCTCCTTTTTGCCATTTTTCAAATGTCGTATACTCTATTATTTATCTCTACCAATACCTTAAATATAGGTTAATTAATTGAAAGACAATTTGGTCAAGCGAACCATGAAAACTAGTGAATTGAATAAGTTAAATGAAGTATATCTTCACTAAAGCTCTCCGTGACCATTTTTATTTGTAGCCGAGAATCAAATAGATTACATAACATTTGAAAAACGGCAAAAAGGAGAAAAAAATCGAAAGGAGAGGTTGAGATGGAAAGTTAGTGTCCGACTGGATCGAAGTCACGATAGCTCAAGTGGTAGAGCAGCGGCGTATCTAGCCGAAGATCGTGGGTTCGAATCCCGCTTGTGACACTGAATTTTTACTCAACCAATACCTTCAATACAGATGAATTAATTGAAATACATTATTACCAATAGAAACCTCTTCAAAATAAACGCAATAATATTCTGCAGTAAATGAATATATATAAATACCAGGCATATAGGACGAACCATTTTCATTGGCTGACAAAACTTATGGGGAGGGAAATTTATACTTTAATAAAAAATTACTTATATATAAAGTTAATACTCTAATATAAAGTTATTTAAAATCATATTTTCTCAGTTACCTTTTCAGGATGTATATAAAAATAATTCCTATCTAAATAGGGATCGAAAAATCCAAATTCCCCAGGAATTGAGGCCAACACGTCTGGCCTAGTAATCGTAGATATCGACGATAATATCTTATAAATATAATATTTGAGTCATTAAGGGAAAGGTTTTTCAGCAGCTCACCTTAAACAAAATTGTTATAGATTTAAGCCCCTTACCGTTTGAACGTCTCTTTATATTAAAATTTTAAATCGGTAAAGTTGTTTATGCATTCAGGATATAACTGTACTGGTGAAAAATACGCCACTTTCAACATATTCATAGTTCGCTTAGACTAATCTTTGAAGCTTAGGATAAATCCTCTTTCCTTTTCGAATTCCGCGCTTACTCGGAAATATTCCTCAGCCAGAATTACAGTTTAGAATCGTGGTTTGGTTAAGGCGAAAGCGGTTTCTACTCGTTATTTGCATAGCTTTGCCTCAGGCTATAACTGAACTCTGTCCTCCTGCGTTTGGCAATGTTGAACAAAGTATTTTCTTTATGAAAAAAGTGAAAAGACAGCTTTGCCCAAATGGGATCTGAGTTATATCTCGTCTGAAATGCGACGTTTTTACTGATCCTTAGTGTTTTAAGTTCCACACTAACAAGACTCATGCTATTCAATAATGGTAATTTTTAGCCAAAAAAAATTGTAATTTTACAGAAAATTTTGACGTGTGACATAGGTTGAATTCTTACAAGATTAAACTATAAACAAATACAGAAATTAAGGATGATTAATTATATAGTATTCACACCTTTTAAAAATCGCAATGATCCGAATTAAGTTTCAGTAAGAGTTAAATAAAAATGATGAGTATTATTCAATTGTATTTAACCGTTGAAAAATAAACATTGTTTTTTGCAAAACGAACGCTTGTAGTTTGTCTTTTGATTGCAAAGAGGTAACTTTTACTTGAATTTCTATTCCAGCTGCAAGTTTGTGGAGAATGTGTTGCCGCTGCTAATTTATTTAATCAACAGTCTACCCTTTCATTCATCAGAGGCTGACTGCCTCCCTTCAAACACCGTGGAATAATTTTAATCGGTTTGGGAAAATGTATCTTAGTCTCCAAAGTTCCCAGTTTGGCGTTATCTGTGGTTTTATTTAAAAATAAGACATTTCCCTGAGGGAAATTTTTTTCTATGAGTTTTATTCACGTCTAAAAAGCCAGGGAAAAAGCATAGAACAGACAGTAGTGAAGAAATCTCATCAATAATGCACGGGACATATGCCTCAAATTCCTCGTTTTTTACGGATGCCAACGTTGGTTTCATTTCCAGCATTTTTCTTGGAGTTTTCTTACCTAACAACACTTCTTTAAACTAGAACCGTCTTTTTTCGTCTATTTCTTCGTTTTTAAGACTAATGATAAATTTCTAATTTTGTAGTTTACAATCTCATTTTATATATAAATTATAAATTCGGTTCTTTTTGATACTTTTGAATATTACTCGAAATTACTAGTACGAAATTGGCATTAAATATTACAAAAACCCGTTTCAATAACTTGTAATATTAATGAGAGTACTTTATTAATTAATACATTACAATTAATTATCGTTTTTAGTTGAGATGAAAAAAGTTAATGGCACGAGCGGGATGAAAAATGGCAAAAAGGAGGGAAAATTCAAAAGGTGGAGTTGAGATGAGAAGTTGATGTCCGAGTGGATCGAGGTCACGATAGCTCAAGTGGTAGAGCAGCGGCGTATCTAGCCGAAGATCGTGGGTTCGAATCCCGCTCGTGCCATTAACTTTTTTTCATCTCAACTAAAACCCTTAATTAATTGTAATGTATTAATTGGTCAAGCGGACCACGAAATTAGTGAAATTAATTAATACGTTTGATCCGTTCTGACGGCGCTAAATACCAACACTTCCGCAACACTCGTCTGTCGTGCCGGTTTAGTCTAGCTTAAAAATCGCTTGATGATATTAAACACAAAAAGTGATTAATTTATAACAATAAAAAAATATACAAAATTATTGAAACTAATTTTAAATAAAGAGATGATTAAGGGGATTGAAAGTTGTTAAGCCATTAAAGTTTATATCCAGAAATGCATTCAAGTACTCAGTTAAGTTGTAATATAGAACTACATTTCATACACGTATAAGGCCATTAAGTTACAACAAAAAGCAAGCAATAATGATAATGTAGATAGTTATTCCCTTATTATAGTGCTTACGATAGCGATTATAAGAGGACTCAAACCACTTTCTATCTTATAAACTTGACATTTGGTATAATTAACTTTGATGTTTTAGCAACCAGATGGTAGGATTTGCGATAGTGAATCAAGGTTGCGACGAGAGAATTTCTATTGCCAATTTGGTTAATCTGTTAACCATCCTTCAATTCAACATCTCTAATATTCCTCACTTCAAACAGAATGTAAATTGTGTTATCCGGCATGAAAAATTTCTCCTCTCGAACCAACTTAGGTATTACATTATGTATTTCTCTGAATAACGTTTTGAATCTTTTTTTTTAAATGCAAAGAATTCTGGTTTTATTCGTAACGAATTGAAAATCCATAGTTAAAAATGTAGTTTAAAGGTTGTAGTAATGTAAAGAATAATAAATATTATAATATATATACTAATAAATGATGTCTACATTGTCGCTGTACACATAATATTAATTTAAAAATTAACTGCAGCATTCTTTACAGAATAAATAAATTAATTGTCAATACAGATTGCCAAGGTGTGGAATGTCACTTCTGGTTTTCTCAGAAACTACTGAACCTATAAAAAAAATTAACCTCATTTTTCTACTTTCAAACATTGCATTTTTTCAATTTTTTTACAAAAGTAAGCTTACTTCTGCACTCAACGTCTAATTAACGGGAATATAACTTTGCTTCAGCAACATGAAAATAAATGAGTAGAAAAAATACGAGGACAGGTGAAGAACAGCAACGAACGACGCGCCTCCAAAACTAACCAAAATAATGCATATTATAATGTCGGAAGGATGAGCTTACGCTTAAATTTACTATTTAAATTTTTGATAAAGTTGAGTAGTTTTTGAGAAGCGTAACACTACTAAGATGGTACTAATGAATTAAAAATTTAGCAAACTTTTTTCAATTTACCTATATATCTATTATATAAATGTAAATATATACATACGTTCGCAGGATGTATGCAATGTAGTTTACTGTTTAAAATTAGTTATTTTTTGAAAAACTTTCAAATAAAATTTAGCTCTACTGTGTACTTTTTTTAAGAAATGAAACCAATTTGGAAAGCAAATTATTATAAAAAAAAGAAAATATAATTTTTGACTAATATGATTTTTCTTTCTTATTACATGAGATATAACACGTTTCTCTATTCAAAATATTATAGTAGTAATGAGTAAGTTTTTTGTGTAATATTTGTCAATGAAAATTTTCTCGATTTCGAAATAATTGCGTATTGTTTATTTTTGTTTGCATGAATGCGTCATTCTTACTGTTGGTGCCATTTTTTGCATGTCTTGTCTCAGTTCTTCTACCTTAGCGTTTGAGGCACCTTTCTGCGCTCTCGCTTGGTGTCCCCTGAAGCTGGCTTGAATCTTTGTGGCTGCATTGCACAACTCTGAAAAACAAAACGATAATTATTAGACGAAGGAAAAGTGTAAATCCAGTAAAATAAGTAGCCACACAACGATTATAAGAACATATACTTAAAATTATTTCATTTTGGTTCTTTCCGTCTATGGAATTATAATACATATTAGATCAAAATAAATTTAATAAAACACCTATTAAAAAAATAACAGTAAAAATATTATCCATTTACGATATTATAGTTTTTATGAATATACTGAATATAAATTTTAATTGAAAATAATCATTTCGTAATGTGAATGATTAAACGATAATAAATAATTACTATAAATATTTTGTACAATGTCTAGTATTTTTTTATTACTGTGTAGTCAACTATTATATATAAATTTTGTTCTAAGTAGTTCAAAAATTGATTTAGAATACTAGTTCGTACAGTAGAAAACTATAATAACTAACTAATACGAAATAATTTTTTGATATTTAATAACTGATATTTATCAAGTTTGCAACTCGTGTAACCAATGATCCGTTAAACAAGCTTAAACAATTTAATGTTTTTATGCTCCGTATATTGATTAATATAATATATTTATAGACACATAGTAATATCTAATATGATGTCGACCTTCGACCCTTGACCTCCACGATCGATTAAGTATCGTAGACCTGATTATGATTCATGGCAGGTGGAAATTTTATGAGCGAACCAGATCTTTCAGAAACACTATAAGCTCATTTATTACTAGTGTAAATTTAAAGCTTATTGAAGGCGTATTGGTTATTATTGTTGTACTAGTTGAGTCCTTTAGGAACCGTTTTAATTTGGGCAGAAGTATTTTCTCTCTCGGAGAAATAATTGCTAATAAGTATTTGTTATAAAATGTAGCCTAGTTGTTAAGGAACGATCCCGCGTTTCCTTCATTATTTATGAAACGGAGAGAGAGGTTGCTGGCTATAACTCGCCGCGATATGGCTCTAGTGTATCACAGGAGTGAAGGAGCTTATTCCTGGAATCATTCCAAGACAGACAGAGGGCCCTTACTTGAAAATTATATTTCCCTTTCGTTCCTATTGCTCGAATATAGCGCGGGCTTTTGCCAGGACACATTTTCCCATTTGCAACACTTACTTCGTTATTCCTCCATTTCAAAAACAGTGCTCTGAATGTATAAAATCGTACTGGAGGCGAGAAGTAAATTGCACATTCACCAGGCGTATTTTACGTGACTTGGACTTTTTAAGTTTTTAAACTTCAGATTTAACTAAACAAATATATATGGAAACGCTAAATTAAGTTATTAAATTGGCATAGTTAATTCTGGTTCCGAGTGCAGATGCTACACGGATGCACTGCTAAAAAATAAAATAATTACAACAGGTCATGGCGCACCTTTAGATGTCAAGAAGGATTATTGGGATTGGTCGGAAGGAAAGTTGTACGCGAGGATTAGAGTGGAATTAAAAGTTAGTGCGGTTGGAAATATAGAAAAATAGGCGTTGACATTGGATAAAATATTCCTGATAGTGGGGCTTGGAGTTGATTTGGTTGACCCTCATAATTCTTTGCCGTATGTCCATATTAGTTTCAGTATTGAGTTGTTTATGGGTACGTCATCATCAAGGAAGAGTTTAGATTTGTTGCTTAATAGTATTTTAAGTAATCAGTATCGTTAATTCAGTTCTTCCTTTTAAGTCATTTATGGGGATTCCAGGTCAGTTACTTTTCTATATACAACCCAAGATAGCGGGTTTCGTTTTTGGTAGGAAGGGGTGAGGTGACATTGTTTGAAGGTAGATTAGTGAATGCGTAAAGGTTATGTTGCTTTATGATGTTCAGTTGGGTTCGCCATTTTTTTTAGACCATTGTGCAGTGAGTAATAACTAACTTGAAATTAAATTGAATAGCAGTGCCTTCAGCAAATATTAAGATAATGGTGTTAGGATGAGGAGGGAGATATCAGGAGTCATTACTAAACATAGTAATAGCCCGAGGACGCTTCCCTGAGGGACGCTCGTGACTCGAGTGTTATGAAAAAGAGAGTGAAAAAATCCGACCCGATCTAAATTTGTTTATAAAAGTTTTTATATATTTTACAGTTTCGTCCGGAAGAAGAAGGAATTATAATAAATGATTAAGTAATTATTAATATTATTAAGACAATTAGCAGTAGATCTCAACTATTACAACGCTTCCTGCAGTTTATTTTGCTTAAATTTTACGTCTGGCTGGTAAGCAGCATAGTGTAATTGGCCAAAGAGCTCCTTTTCTACAGAGATTTCGATTGTTTAAAAGCGAGTTATTTGTATGGTGAGTTATAAATATTTTCGAAAGTCTTTTTAAGTTTCTCAAGTCATACTTAATCAATTATGTACGACACATTCAAGAACAAGTACAATATATTATTATTCGGAGATCGTGAGATGTGGTCTGGTGTCACGTAGGTTTTAGAAAAACATTTTCTTTATAGTGACAACGTTTCGATCTTTATTGAGATCATCTTCAGGGTCTGGGGTTTACAAACATTATTTAAATTGGACACCAAGCAAAAAGTATTCTGAAGGACATCGCCAACAATGAGAAGAAACTCGCATCGGCTATCAATCAGAGAATTTTTTTGTTGAAATGCAGACAACACAAATACGCAAAAAATAAACACTTTGAGAGAGTAGAAATATTTTGATTGAATATAAAAAATATTTTTTGCATTGTATAAATGCACTTTTTTCCACATCCTACATGTATTTGTTAAATTTAAACAATGTTTGTAAATCCCTGGCCCTGAAGATGATCTCAATAAAGATCGAAACGTTGGCACGATAAAGAAAATGTTTTTTTTAAACCTACGTCATTCCAGACCGCATCTCACGATCTTCTAATAATCATCTACTAACGGTCACTAATCACCCAAAATTTGTACATTATATTGAAAACACGCTGTTACAAAGATTTCTATCAAATATTAATTTTAATTTGTCAGTTGATGAGTTGCTAAAAACAAAAATGTAAAATGTTAATTTATTATTTATACATTTATTGTTGTTCTTTAAAAATAAAGTTAATTACATTTGATTTTTTCCCGAGATAATGCAGGTAATGAGGAGCGGGAAAACTTTTTCTATTCTCTTTAGAAAAACACAAGGAGAAGTCTCAAGAAGTTATGATTAGGTTAAAGGAAGAACTGCATGAAACTCATTCCGCCACTGGAGCTGAATCTTAAATGAACTTTTCCCAGGAAGCTAGTCAAAAGCTTTTCCGGCAGTTTATAGCATTAACGAGAAAAAATTTAATTTTCCTCTCATCACTGACAGTTGACCCATATATCGATTTCATACAAAAAAAGGAAAGGGTTCAAGTTTTATGGCAATTTTCTTTCACCATTCCGTCTCGGAAGCACATTTCTTCAAGTACTATTTATTTCAAATGCACCTCAAGGGGTATACAATCTAACTTCGTTTAAAATTTTTCCTCCACAGGGGGAATATTCGAGCTCGTTGAACCAATCTTCGGTAATCCTGGTGACCAACTTTCTTTTTTATATCCTTTCTATAGTAAGCAATATCTTTTAGTTGCAAACTTAATTTGTATCCATTTGTTTGAATATTAAGTGTCCTCTTGAAGCAGTAAGAGTTTGTTTTATAATTTGAAAATTTCAGTGTTGTCAGAAACAATACTTGGTTTTTATGAGAGATGTAACAAATATTGTACAGCCTCACGTTGATTTCAATCTTAAATATTTGTCATACTGAGATATATCAAATATAAACTGAAACAGACTAATAACAGATTTTCTCAGGTTTTAAGTTTTCTAATAATTCTCAAGAAAACATACATTAATTGTTTTTTTTTTTAAATAAAAATATTTTAGAGTTAAAAGAAAATAAGCAAACTTTAAACTGATAATAATTGTAATGCCTCCGTATCCGATTTAGAATAGGCTAAGAATGAAATCTCCAACTTCTTCAAATATAAACCAATTTTATTTATTTAACATTTTAGTTGAAAGTTAATCATTGCATATGTTTCAAAGGTTTGCAACAATTTTTTGAAAACAACATCGACTTACTAGACCCTCTGGTAATTTTTTTTAAGCGTTTCTGCCTGATGCGAATTTCGGTTAACAAATATTTCTGTCTTGGGGAGTTAGCATCAATCTTAGAATAAAATAATAGTTTACATATGTCGTTTTTTTTCTCAAATTAAACTCAGACTATATATTTATAATTAATTTAGTTAAGTGATATATTTTATACATTGTTTAATTTGTATTTTAAAATGTATTATTATTTGGAGATCGTGAAGTGCGGTCTGGTGTGACGTAGGTTTAGAATAACATTTTCCTTATCGTGCCAACGTTTTGATCTTTATTGAGATCATCTTCAGGTCTCAAAGTTTTCTGTGTAGATGGTCATTGCTGTGAGACGTGTTGAGAGTGCCCAAAAATAAAATTTATTATACACACTCAGTTAATGATAGAAATGTATTTAGTATATTTTGTATGGGGCATTAAAAATAAAATAATAACAGTAAAAATAAACAATGTCTTCTGAAAACTACAAAAACGTCCTGGCTAAATAAATATGCGGTTCTTTATTGGTTAAAGAAAACCTATGGAGAAAGTAAAGCTAGCTCTAACCCTTGGAAAGTAGTGGCAAAAAAAATGCGCAGGATATCATTGGAGCGAACAGTACAAAATCAAAAGAAACTCCAGCTGTTTGTTCGCTTTGTAATGGTAATCATCCAGCCAACTACAGAGGATGCATCACACACAAAGATTTACAACGGCTAAGAAGACAGAATTCCTCCGAATCAAGACACCAGTCTAGTACTCCTCCACCACCACCACAGCAAGTAAGATCTGACCACGCTCGTCGAACCAGCGTTAGCTACGCCCAAGCCGTCCAAGGACCATCTCAGTCACAACCACAGCCAAACCCTACTCCTTCTTTCATCCCTCCTCCTTCCACTTCTTCAGACCTAACTTCAATGATGTTCACCTTTATCAACGAATTCCGCTCTCTCATCAG